TGTTACAATTTATATTTTACCATTTGAAAATGTCTCCATTTCAAGTTATCTTCATTCTCTCCTCCTCCTTAGTGACTCAGTGATAGGTCTGTCTCGGGCATTCTTCATTTCTGTTACACTCTTTCTGATTTCCAGCATTTCTGTTTGATTCTTTTTAAACTTTTTTTTTTATCTCCCTGCCTACATCAGCCATATGTTATTTTATGTTTTTACTTACTTCATTAAAGGATTTAGCATCTTAATTATGGTGATTTTAAGTGTTTTGTCAGATAATTTGAATATGCTTGTTATCTGGTTTATGCTGTATCTGGGTTCTGCTGCTTGCTATGTTTCTTCAGAGTTCTTACCTTTTATAATGCCTTGTAATTTTGTTGAAAGCCAGAAATGATGTATTAGGTAAAGGAAATTATGGTAAATAGGCTGGTAGTGTGAAGCTTTGGGTTTAATTGGCTAGGAGGAGTTGGGCTGTGTTGGATGTTCTCCATAGCTGTGAGGAAAGAGGCTTCAAATTCCTCCAAATCCTTGTCTCTCCTGTTGTCTTTGATGTTTTTTAATGATTCCACCTCAGGGACAGTCTATGCCTTCTGGCTCTTTCTGTTTTCCAGCTCTTCCAACTGCAATCACCTGGAACCTTACTGTAGTGGTGCTAAGATGTGGGAGAGGGGAAGTGTTTTGCAATCTCATAATTACATTTTAGTGTTTTGATGGTTTTGTGTCCTTCCGATGTGAGACGCAGTATACGGGAAGTGTAGAAGAGGTTAGAATGGGAGAAATGCCCCCTTTTCTAGATTAGATAGACAGTATAGAGTAAGGTCTTTCCTCAGGAGAGCAGAGCTTTGTTCTAGAGACTCCTCCTGATTTATTTTACAACTATCACTCTTGTTCTAACCCTGCCACAGCACCAAGATCTTACTTGGTTTTTCACTCCATGAAGCTAGTGGGGCTGTTGAAAGTAACACTCATGAAACTCACTTGGTTATGGTCAAAGAAGATTCTAGTTAACACAGCCTCCAGCAGTTCCCCTTTACCAGTCTCAAAACACTAACAATTCTATCTAACATATTTTTTTTAATTTATTTTGATTTAAAAGGGATATAGATAGAGAAGGGACAGACAAAGAAAGATCTTCCATTCATTGGTTCACTCCCCACATGAATACAACTGCTGGAGCTGAGTTGGTCTGAAGCCAGGAGCCAGGAACTTCTTCCAGGTCTCCCATGTGGGTTTAGGGGCCCAAGGACTTGAGCCACCCTCCTCTGCTTTCTCAGACCATAAGCAGGGAGCTGGATTGGAAATGGAGCAGCCGGGTCACGAACTGGTGCCCATATGGAATGCCAGCTTCAGAGGTAGAGAATTAACATGTTGAAGCATGGTGCTGTCTCCTCTCTGTAATCTTTTAAAATTAAATTTTATTTAATCAAAAAGATAGTTGGAGAGAGAAAGAGAGAGAGAGACAGAGACAGAAACTCACAGATCTTTCATCAAGTGGTTCCCCTCTTGAATATCAACAGTCAGGGCTGAGCCAAGCTGGAGTTGGGAACACATCACTCTTTCTGGGTCTCCCACATGGGTGGCAGGGATCTAAGTTCTATCAGTGTGCACATGGCAGGAAGCTGGAGTTGGGACTTGGGTCGGACCTCCGATGTGAGTTGTGGGCATGCAAAGCTATGCCTTAAGTGGCTGCATCAAATGGCAGCCCCTCCGCTGACCGCTGGCTCACAGGAGATCTCTGTGGGATATCTGCCCTCACACACGGTCAAGCGAGCCTGCAAAGTACGCGTGTACCACCTAGTCCTCTGTCTCCCTCGCGGTCTGTCTTTGCTTCTCAGTGTGAGTGCTGCTTTCTCCTCTCTATTGTTTCAGCTTTATTGTGGTCCCATCTTTCATCCCGGCTTCCGTTACAAATCTGATGTCACAAAAGTTCACATCAAATTTACCCGCGGAATACTGTGTTGTCTCAGTAAATTATTTGCAGAGACAAGAAACTGCCTTTGAGCTGGAAAATGGGTATGACAGATTCGTCAGTAACAATACAGAACTTAGGGAGGAAGCACTTGCGCCATCATCATTGTCTTTGTTGGAACTAAGCATGCTAGCATTTTCTTCTCTGTTCTTTCCCGTGGTTCACACTGAGATGAGAGACACCCGGAAGAGAGCTGAGTCAGAGGTTGCTGCGCATGATTACTGACTTGCACGTGCCATAGCAATAAAATAAATGTTTTTGTTTTGGACCAAGACACATACATAGCTAGTAAGAGACAGAATTTGAACCAGGTTAGTCTGACACTAAGACCAGGGCTCATTCTGCTGGATCATTACCGTGTAACTTTTGTAATAAACATTTATAGAGTTTCCCAAGCTTCTTAGTCCTCAAGAAAACTTTTTCTCCTCCTCCATGGGAGTATAAAAGAATACCTAAGCCACCTCCTGAAAGTCACATAAACAGGTTGGCTCGCTGTCAAGTAAAACATTTAAAACATCAAAACTTGGGGTTTTACATTGCTCCTTTTAAAACTTTGCTGCCGTCACAACAGCCTGAGTCCACTGGAGACTCTCAATACACACAATCATGATTTGTTGACTACATATGTGGTCAAGCTCAAGTTGGCACCAAAAGGAGTAAAAAGAAAGCGAAAAAAACTTCCTGTTTTTCTCCCAGACACCTCGGTATGTTGCATGGAATTCTAATTTGGATCAGAAGCACAGGCTTCTCACATGAAATAAGAGACTGCATATTCTCCTTGTCTGGCTGGTGAGCTAAGGTCACATCCCGGCACCTCATTAGCCGGCAGAACCTGCAGATACTGCAGGCGTTCAGAGCGGGCTGTCTAGGGGAACAGGGGCAGAAACCGCAAGTATTTATGGAGTTCCTACCTCAGGAGGCCCGTGTGCGTTAGGTGGTCTGGGAGCACATTATTAAGTGAGAAATCCCTGGCCACTTAGCTTGGCCTTGCGCATCTTGGGATTTCTTAGGAGGAAGGAAAGAAAAGAAATAATGGCTCACGCGCATGGACCGCAACACAGACAGAAGTGATCCCTGTGGGACTTGGAAGGCTGAAGGCAATGGTCTGGTTAGATTCAGCATTCCTGGTAAGGAAAATGAAGGAGCCAAAGAGGAGTGCAGGCTGCGGCAAGAGCCAGCAGAGGGATGAGAGGGAATGGCTTGCTGCATCACTAACTCACAGGCATCACTCTGATGTCTTTTTTCTGATATCGAATGGGGAGACATTTGCAAAGCTCCTTCAGAATGGCAGCGTGCATTGGTTTTGTTCATGTTGAATTTATTGCACGAGGATTCCTTGGACTTGGACAGAGAGGCCGGGAAGGTTCAGGTTTTCTTTACATTGCAGGAACTGAAAGCAGTGGATTATTTATTCTTAGCTGGGGCAAGTGTAGGCAGTGTCCCAACTTTTCCCAGACAGAGGCGGGTTGGTTCATTACTTTGCACAATTTCAGGTACTTCTCGTTTTAAGGTCTGTGCGTTGTGCTTTGCATTGCTACAAGGCAGCTCTGAGTGTGATGGTTTTCCCCTATCTCATTTACCAAAGCAGGACAGACATGGCTTGGAGGCGGTATCCCAAGAGGGCACGGCAGAGCTGGGAGCATGAACGACACTCCCAGGATCAGGTGGGGTCCCTGCTTTTAGATCTGGTAAATAACTTTACACCAACTTTTTAAGTCCCACCTCTCAGAGAAGAACGGCTGAGGGAGAAAAAAAAAAATAATAAAAGATGGCAGGCCTCGTACTCGCAGCAGCCCGTGTGGGCTGTGCCGGTCGCCCCGGCGGCCTGACACCCTGAGCGAGTAGAACCACGGACCTTGAGGATACTACTGACCAGGACCGGTGGCTGCAGTTTCCTCTTTGTTCTTGCACACGGTTGGGCTTCAGAAGATGCTGAAGCACCCAGAAGAGGCAACCGCTAGGAGGTACCCGAGCTTTGTGTGCGCGACTCCCCTGGACGAGCAGGCGTGGCTCAGCTAGGCGGGTCCGGGCGCTACGGCCCCCAATTCCCCTGCCCCACCAAGGTCGAGGTTGCGATGAGCCAGACAGGATTTCTCAGAAGGTGCGGCCCTGTTTACGGAAAGGCTGGGGGGGGGGGGGAGGCAGTGTCACTCCCCGGGGCCCACGCGCCCGGGCACCAGCTGCCCGCACATCTGGCAGCAGCAGCGCCCGTCCTCCTCATCGCAGGGCGGTGGCGAGGAGGCGCAGGACCCCGGGGTGCACGCAGCTCCCCGTGTGCGCGCGCGCGCCCGCGCCCGGGAGCGCCTGGTCTGGGTCTGGCCGTGCCCGAGCGCGCGCGCGCTCCCCCGGGCGTCTGCTAGGTGAACCGCCGGCTCCCGGACCCGCGCGTGCTGGCCAGGGTGGGGGACCCGGGGACCCCCAACAGCTCGGCTCCCGCTTCTTGATTGCGGGTTCCTAAGCTAGGAGGAGAAGGATGACGGTCACGGGGTGACATCCCTGGGTTGGGACCCGAGCCAGTCACTGACACTGAGGAATTTACTGGTGTATCTTCAGGGGGAGGCTGTGGTTTTTGTCCTTGTTGTTTGGTTTTGGTATTTTTATTGTCTGCCTCGGGCTCCCGAGAACAAGGGCAGGAGAGAGGGGGCGCGCGATTGCATGCGAACGTCGCGGATCCGCACGGGTCGAAGGAGGCAATTTTGCGGGTTGGGGCGGGGGAGGGAGGGAGGGGAGACCTTGATTTCCACCAATCCCTGGGCGACTGTCGGCCAAGTCCGGGGCGCAGCGGAAGGCTGCGGCGCGCCGCTGAATGAACTGATGAGAGCGAGTTCTTTTCTTCTCCGGGCGGGGTGGGGAGCGAGGGTCCTGGCGGGCGAAGCGCAGGAATCCGGGGCAGGATAGCGGTCCCGGGTCGGGCCGCGCCGGGCCGGGCTGCCGTGGAAATTTCCGAGGACTTGGCGAGGCGCGTCTGGAGGGCGCTTGGCGGCGGCGCCGCGGCGCTGGGAGGCGGGGAGAGGCGGCGAAGGGCGAAGGAGCATCGCTCAGCAAAGGGACGCCGCGCGCGCGCGGGCCACCGCCGTTTCCCGGGACCCTCCCCGAGGGCGACCGTGATGCTGCAGAACCGGCGGGAGTGTCTCGCAGCCGTCACCACCACCAGCAGCAGCACTACCGCCAACACTATTCTCCGCGCTGGCGCGGGGACCCCGGAGCTCGCCTTTCTGCAGGGGAGACGACCATGGTGGCCCTAGCTCGTGACTTGCCTCCCCGCCACTTGCCCTAGAAAGAAATCCTTGACAAAGTTGCATTTCAAAAAAGAAAAAGAAAAAATTCCTTGCCCTGACCTCCGGGGTCATAGGGGCCCCCCGAAGCGGTGTGGGATCGGACAGGATAACCAACGGTGTGTGTGCATGGGGGGCCGACGGCAGGGGGACCCTTCGCGGCCACTCTGCTTGGCGTGGTGGTGCTGAGGCTAGGGGACGCCGGGGCTGAGATGAGCCCCTGCGGGCTGGCCCGGCGACACGCATCCAGAGGGGCCATGGCCATTCTGGCGTGGAAGTTCCCACGGACCAGGCTACCAGTGGGAGCCAGTGCCCTCTGCATCGTGATCCTCTGCTGGCTCTACGTCTTCCCTGTCTACCGGCTGCCCGACGAGAAGGAGATCGTGCAGGGGGTGCGGCAACAGGGCACAGCGTGGAGAAGGAACCAGACGGCTGCCAGAGTCTTCAGGTACTTGCGCCTTCGCGACTCCTTGCTGGTGACCTGGGGTACCAGGCGAGAACCCGCCTCTCACAGTTTCCCCATTTCCTTTGGATCTCTTGTTCTGCCTCTCTCCACCCCTGACCCTGGAGACTTTATCAGGATACCCCAGCCCCACCCCCTGGAGATTCGCAGGCACCTGCTCTGTATGCGCTGAGAGACTATGGATTTCTTCCCAAGCCCAAGTTGTATTTCAGGGCTTGTTGGAAACTGGTGGGAAGGAGGACCCTGGGTAACTTAGTTCCCCTGCACTTGATTGGAAGGCACAGACACCTAGAAGCCAGTCAAGAGGTGTGTAACAGATGCACCGTGAGTAAATCCTCACGGAGGCGGTGCTGGGCCAACACTGGGCAGTGAGAACATGAACACCCAGTCGGGACCCCTCAGCTTTGCGCCACACAGCATTGGCTGACGTTCCACTAAGAGGCACAATTGGGCAATTTTTTTTTTCTTTTTAACAAAATTTTAACAACTTCTGATTGCAGATACTAGCTCATCTTACTCCCCAGGGAGGAATTCTTTAGAAAGATGAGATTCTTGCCCAAGGTCATTCTCTTTCCAGAATGGGTGCTGAAATTGTCCTCATGTAAGGCTCCCAATTCCTTTCTTTGGTTTGGCCTGGAAGATGCGGCAGGCATTCTAGGTAGGGACTTGGTATCAGAACACAAAAAAATCCATAGCTGGTCGGACTCATAACTTTGAAGACCCTCTCAGAGGCTGCAGTTCCTCTTCATGGGCTGCAAATCAGCTTCTGGCAGCAGGATTTGCAGCGTGACAGGGAGGCTGGGAGGATTCTTCTCCCGGTCTCCCCTAGGGGACACCTGGAGGACTTGCAGGTACAGGCCTGGAGGATGCTGCAGTTGGCTCTCCCAAGGTTCTGGCCCTGTGAGTGGAGGCGCTTTGCTCCTCTTGACAGACACAGGATCTGTGCCATCCGGGCAGGGGCAGGTGGGCTACCAACTTCCACCTTTCTCGGTACTGTTATTTACACACACTCAGAAGTGTCTGGGTGCTTAACCAAACTTGCTCAAGGTTCAGTTTCCCTTGCCTTCCTCAGTCTAAAAAGGCCAGAGCCCCCTGTTAGCAGGGGTGTGCCACTGGGCTTCCTTTAACTGTTGCGACAGATCTTGTCCCTCCTCTGCCTCCCTGCAGAACCCTACCACGGTGGCATGTGGAAACAAGCAGATTCCCCTTCTCAGTGTGTAAGGGTGACTTTTCTCTCACCTGCACAGAATTGATAGTTGGGCTGAAGAGCAAACAAGAGACATAGCACCCAACAGTTCTCTGCTCTGAAGACAGAAAGCGCTTTCATTTCAAGTGATAGACGGAAATGAGTTGAGAACTTCCCACTGGCCTGCAATGAAAGAGCCCTTTTGGGGAGGGGTGGGTGGGTGTAATAGAGGAGGAGGAGGGATAATGAAGCTGTAGTAGAGAATATTTGTTTTGAGAGGGCACAGTCGGTGGGAAATGCTTTCCTAGGCTGAGCACACAGGCTGGTGGTGTGTGAGACGTGTTTGTCCCTTGCCCTCTATAGCCTGGGGTGAACTTGAGCGAGTTTGCTCTCATTACGTTTGGTTCGGTGTATGCTGAAATTAGGAAAATGCCTATGCTGTGGAAACTGCCTAAATATGATCCCCCTGCCTGCTGCCAGTGTCTGGTACGCTGTGGAAGGAGCGTTAGTGTTCACGGAAGACAGTTTGAACTTCAGAGTGGAATTCCAGACTTGAGCACTGCCTATCCCATGACTAGACAAACAGGACAGTGCCTTTGGCCAGTTACTGTGTTTGAGTTTTAGCTTGCTTATTTATAAATTGACAGCTTGACAGCCTTGCAAGTTTGTGACAAGTTTCAAAGGAAACAAGATCTGATGCCAGGGGTCTGGGACATTGCATACCCAGAACATGGTTGTATTATTATTATTACAAATTATGGTTTCTTGTGTATGTTTTAACTGAAATAAGGATATCTTGGTCAACTCATGAGAGTATTTTAAAACTCATTTTTAGAAAGATGATATTTTACAGATTTTGTTGTTGTTGGTGGTGTTGTTTTATGAACTGCAGATTTGGAGAGAAGGATCTGAGAGATCTGTTCACTGTTTCATTTCCCAGATGGCTTCAGTGGCCAGGACTGGGCCAGACTGAAGTCAGAATCCTGAAATTCCACTCGGGTCTCCCATGTGGGTGGCAGGGAGCCAGCCACTGAGGCCATTTCTCACTGTTTTTGCAAGCACATCATCAGGGAGTATAATGGGAAATGGACTACCTGGGACTCCCACCAGGGTTTATACGGGATGCTGGTATCATAGGCCATGGCTAAGCTCGCAGTGCTGCAAGGCTGGTGCAAAGATTGCAAACGTTTTGAAAAATAGGTTTGTTGGTACTGAAAGTGTGGCATAACGGCGAAAGATGCTGCCTGTGACACTGGCATCCCAGATGAGCACTGGCTGGGCCATGCTGAAGCCAGGAGGCAGCAACTCTATCTGAATCTTCCATGGACGTGGTAGGAACAAGTGCTCCAGCCATCACTGGCTTTCTTCCAGGGGGTGCATTTGTAGGATGCTGAATCAGAGCCAGCAATCTGATATGGGATGTGGGCATCCCAGGTAGCTGCTTGCAGCCACTCAGAATTTGCAGCTGCCACAGCGCTAGTGGGGCAGTATGTGTCCATGCCCTCTCTCCCACGTGTATCACTGTAGCTAATCAAAAGGGGCAAGGAGATTTCAAAGGGAGGAAAAGTTCCATAGTTCCTAAAGAATTAAAAAAAAATTTACACACTTAATGAGATTCATTGTTTTTGAACATCTGGACTTGGAATATGTGAAGAATAGTATAAATGAGAGTACTTCATAAAGGTCATGGTAAATGGAATGAAAAGATAAATATTGCACAAAATCCTTTTATTCCTTTTTCTTCATAATACTTAATTTCCGTGAACTTTTTGAAGGCTCCTCATATTTCTTAACTGGTCAGCCAGAATTTTATTGTGTTATGGAAGCACAACTTTTGCAAACAATGATCTGTATTTTTTCCAGTCTGACATGTCTTGTGCACAGATACACATACATGCAATTGTATATGTGATATAAAGCATACAACATCTAGTGATATCACATATGTGTAAGCATTTGCATACTTATAATTACATGCAAAATATAGGTAATCAGCCAATCAACATTTTTTAAAAAAATTTTTTTCCCCCACTATTTGAAAGGCGTAGTGAAAGACTGAAGGAGAGACAGAAAGAGATAGGGGCAAAAGATCTTCCAGCTACTGATTTAGTCACTTTCCAGGTGACCACAACAGCCTGAAGCCAGGTGCCAAGAAGTCTAACCTGGTCCCCACCTGGGTTTGAGGTACCCAAGTGATTTGCTGCTATCTTTCCCTAAGTTCCCGGATGCATTAGCTGAAAGCTGGACCAGAAGCAGAGCAGCTAGGGCTTACAGAACCACTCCAATACTGGTGCTGTAGGTGGTAACTTAACAGACTGTGTCACAAAAACACAGCTCTAGCCAGCTAATATTTAAAGACTACTCAGCATCACACACTTGTATGTGTTAGGCCTGAGGGGGTGGCAGTGTATAGAAGGGACGCATTTGCCTTGTCAAAGAGATCTTACCTCTTACTAGGGGGTAAGAAACAAGAAACAAGTTGAAAATAGGATGACTTGAAGGTCTGTTATGTGCTGTGAAGACAGAAAACAGTATCTCACTGTGTCCTAAGCACCAGAATTCAGACTTAATTTTCCTCGTGTGTGTTTTTGTTTACTTTTGTGATGTTCTTCTCCTAGCTCAGAACTTATGTTACGTACCTTAGTCAATGGCATACAGAATGTCAGCAAGAAAGCAAGATTGTAACGGTTTTGAACCAAACAGGAACCTTACCCAGGTTAATAAGAAGGTGAATAGTTCAGTTAACCCTATTATAGGAATGCTGCTAACTGGTGATTCTGACTGAGTGGTTCGATACTGTAGGTAATGCCAAACTCCAGCAGTGTCTGTCTCATCAGAACTTAGCATTTATTCACTCCACAGATAGGAACCTCAGTTCAGAATTGATGTGCAAGGCTTTATTCTTGGTGCTTGGTAGAGGAACACAGCTATGATGAAATTAATAAATTATTAGGCACTTATCATTCACCTGGCATGATAAGTTCATGATAGACATTGTTCCATTTCATCATCTTAAGAGCCTTGGATAGAGAGATTTAAGCGTGTTTATAAAGAACATGCCCTGGCGTGATGTCCCTGCCATCAAAGGACTTACTGCAGTTTCATGGGAGAGACAGAGAAGAATCCCTTTGCATAACTGACTAGAAGCGGGACAACAGGACAGAGTGCCAATCTTATGGATTTGGGCGCCATCAGAGCTGAATACTTCGCTAGCCATCTGAGCATTGCTGACCTCAATTCTCACAGGTTTTGTTCCGCATTTCTAAACTGGGCTGTAAGACTTTCTACTGAATCTGAAGTGGAAAATACCTGATAGCATATAGAGACACCTGGAATGTTGTTTGCCACATAGCTCTGTTGTTGCTGTATATTCTATTGTCATTATTACAATAGAAATTACAAGCAAGGTGCTGGGGGTGTTTGTAGAACATGGCTTTTAATTCTACTGTCTGGAGGGAAATCAAAGTTTTCAGAGAGGAGGTGGGATCTGTCCTGAAGCCTTAGTGGATGGTAAGAGCGTGCTGGTACCAGGTGAGGGTAGGAGCATGTCCTAGGCAGGGCAATTTGGAGCTACCTGTCACGTTTGCAGTGTTATGAAGTTTCTCTGGGAGGCCATGGTAGAAAGGTAGGTAAGTGGAATGGAGGTTGGGCATGGCTATTGAGACGTAACGGACAGAAGTCAAGTGTCTGGGATACTGGCCAAGTGTCACTATCAGCAGAGATGGCTCAGGGTGACTGGAGTTGTGGGTGGAGAAGAAGGGATCGTACAGCAGGCTTGTGGCTGTGAACTTTCTGTCGC